GAGCCATTGAATCGGGTCCCAGTGGCTGAATGGTATACGAGCTTGCCTTGTAACCGGAAGGTCCCGGGTTCGAATCCCAGTGGGTGCGTACTGCCGATGATTCCCAAACTAGGATGAAACAGCAGCTGTCCAGTACTCCCTGGTTTTCAATGGTTCTCTAACTGATATCAGTCCGTGATCAACTCGTAAAACATATCTAATCCTTACAAACCAAACTTTAGAAGATTATTCTGATGCTCGCTAGTGACTTGCTACAGGTTGGAGCTTCCTGCAGTTCTAGTGAGAAGTCGTGACCAGTGAGGTCCAATTAGAAGTCACGTGTGGATGGATTTCCACCAACGACAATAGTTGGGGTCGCGCTAAAGTCACGAATTGGTAGAAGTTAGAATTCATGAGCCATTGAATCGGGTCCCAGTGGCTGAATGGTATACGAGCTTGCCTTGTAACCGGAAGGTCCCGGGTTCGAATCCCAGTGGGTGCGTACTGCCGATGATTCCCAAACTAGGATGAAACAGCAGCTGTCCAGTACTCCCTGGTTTTCAATGGTTCTCTAACTGATATCAGTCCGTGATCAACTCGTAAAACATATCTAATCCTTACAAACCAAACTTTAGAAGATTATTCTGATGCTCGCTAGTGACTTGCTACAGGTTGGAGCTTCCTGCAGTTCTAGTGAGAAGTCGTGACCAGTGAGGTCCAATTAGAAGTCACGTGTGGATGGATTTCCACCAACGACAATAGTTGGGGTCGCGCTAAAGTCACGAATTGGTAGAAGTTAGAATTCATGAGCCATTGAATCGGGTCCCAGTGGCTGAATGGTATACGAGCTTGCCTTGTAACCGGAAGGTCCCGGGTTCGAATCCCAGTGGGTGCGTACTGCCGATGATTCCCAAACTAGGATGAAACAGCAGCTGTCCAGTACTCCCTGGTTTTCAATGGTTCTCTAACTGATATCAGTCCGTGATCAACTCGTAAAACATATCTAATCCTTACAAACCAAACTTTAGAAGATTATTCTGATGCTCGCTAGTGACTTGCTACAGGTTGGAGCTTCCTGCAGTTCTAGTGAGAAGTCGTGACCAGTGAGGTCCAATTAGAAGTCACGTGTGGATGGATTTCCACCAACGACAATAGTTGGGGTCGCGCTAAAGTCACGAATTGGTAGAAGTTAGAATTCATGAGCCATTGAATCGGGTCCCAGTGGCTGAATGGTATACGAGCTTGCCTTGTAACCGGAAGGTCCCGGGTTCGAATCCCAGTGGGTGCGTACTGCCGATGATTCCCAAACTAGGATGAAACAGCAGCTGTCCAGTACTCCCTGGTTTTCAATGGTTCTCTAACTGATATCAGTCCGTGATCAACTCGTAAAACATATCTAATCCTTACAAACCAAACTTTAGAAGATTATTCTGATGCTCGCTAGTGACTTGCTACAGGTTGGAGCTTCCTGCAGTTCTAGTGAGAAGTCGTGACCAGTGAGGTCCAATTAGAAGTCACGTGTGGATGGATTTCCACCAACGACAATAGTTGGGGTCGCGCTAAAGTCACGAATTGGTAGAAGTTAGAATTCATGAGCCATTGAATCGGGTCCCAGTGGCTGAATGGTATACGAGCTTGCCTTGTAACCGGAAGGTCCCGGGTTCGAATCCCAGTGGGTGCGTACTGCCGATGATTCCCAAACTAGGATGAAACAGCAGCTGTCCAGTACTCCCTGGTTTTCAATGGTTCTCTAACTGATATCAGTCCGTGATCAACTCGTAAAACATATCTAATCCTTACAAACCAAACTTTAGAAGATTATTCTGATGCTCGCTAGTGACTTGCTACAGGTTGGAGCTTCCTGCAGTTCTAGTGAGAAGTCGTGACCAGTGGGGTCCAATTAGAAGTCACGTGTGGATGGATTTCCACCAACGACAATAGTTGGGGTCGCGCTAAAGTCACGAATTGGTAGAAGTTAGAATTCATGAGCCATTGAATCGGGTCCCAGTGGCTGAATGGTATACGAGCTTGCCTTGTAACCGGAAGGTCCCGGGTTCGAATCCCAGTGGGTGCGTACTGCCGATGATTCCCAAACTAGGATGAAACAGCAGCTGTCCAGTACTCCCTGGTTTTCAATGGTTCTCTAACTGATATCAGTCCGTGATCAACTCGTAAAACATATCTAATCCTTACAAACCAAACTTTAGAAGATTATTCTGATGCTCGCTAGTGACTTGCTACAGGTTGGAGCTTCCTGCAGTTCTAGTGAGAAGTCGTGACCAGTGAGGTCCAATTAGAAGTCACGTGTGGATGGATTTCCACCAACGACAATAGTTGGGGTCGCGCTAAAGTCACGAATTGGTAGAAGTTAGAATTCATGAGCCATTGAATCGGGTCCCAGTGGCTGAATGGTATACGAGCTTGCCTTGTAACCGGAAGGTCCCGGGTTCGAATCCCAGTGGGTGCGTACTGCCGATGATTCCCAAACTAGGATGAAACAGCAGCTGTCCAGTACTCCCTGGTTTTCAATGGTTCTCTAACTGATATCAGTCCGTGATCAACTCGTAAAACATATCTAATCCTTACAAACCAAACTTTAGAAGATTATTCTGATGCTCGCTAGTGACTTGCTACAGGTTGGAGCTTCCTGCAGTTCTAGTGAGAAGTCGTGACCAGTGAGGTCCAATTAGAAGTCACGTGTGGATGGATTTCCACCAACGACAATAGTTGGGGTCGCGCTAAAGTCACGAATTGGTAGAAGTTAGAATTCATGAGCCATTGAATCGGGTCCCAGTGGCTGAATGGTATACGAGCTTGCCTTGTAACCGGAAGGTCCCGGGTTCGAATCCCAGTGGGTGCGTACTGCCGATGATTCCCAAACTAGGATGAAACAGCAGCTGTCCAGTACTCCCTGGTTTTCAATGGTTCTCTAACTGATATCAGTCCGTGATCAACTCGTAAAACATATCTAATCCTTACAAACCAAACTTTAGAAGATTATTCTGATGCTCGCTAGTGACTTGCTACAGGTTGGAGCTTCCTGCAGTTCTAGTGAGAAGTCGTGACCAGTGAGGTCCAATTAGAAGTCACGTGTGGATGGATTTCCACCAACGACAATAGTTGGGGTCGCGCTAAAGTCACGAATTGGTAGAAGTTAGAATTCATGAGCCATTGAATCGGGTCCCAGTGGCTGAATGGTATACGAGCTTGCCTTGTAACCGGAAGGTCCCGGGTTCGAATCCCAGTGGGTGCGTACTGCCGATGATTCCCAAACTAGGATGAAACAGCAGCTGTCCAGTACTCCCTGGTTTTCAATGGTTCTCTAACTGATATCAGTCCGTGATCAACTCGTAAAATAAATATTATATTTTAAAATTGTAAGAACCTGAAAAGGGGAAATTACTGAAGAGAATATTCTTCATTCAGACTGACTTTTAATTCATGATAGTTTAAGGACTGGTGATTTAAATCCTGTTATGATCAAGACTTTGATTTCACCTTCAGTTATGAGCTAATAAATCAAAAAAAGTAGCGGTAGGCATTATTTAACCTTCATGAATATGCTTTCAGCTTTTACTGACTAGAATCAAATATCTCTTTAAGCATACATTTTATATGGATAGTTTTTCTCTTATTTAAATAACTTCCAATATTTTTGCTTCCCAAGTGAAATACAGGATAGCCTCAAGTTTGAGCTTTGGAATCACACTAGCAGTGGTGTTTTTACTTATTTAAGGTGTAGGGTTGTTAGTCGGACACTAAATCAGCTTTTCACATGGTTCGAATACGAATCCAAACTGATGCACTCCCGAGAACCCCGCCTAGTTCACTAGTCGGTGGTTGGATGTGAGGTTAGCTAATATTAGATGGTTAAAGGCAATCGGCCGGGAAGACTTGGCACTTATCAGTCAGCAAGGCAAGCGTACCTGTAACTGCTTTGGAGGAACTGGTGTCCCTGCCAAGATTTGAACTCGTATCACTCAGTGAGTGTTGCAGTCAGACATGTTACCACTGAGCTATTCGAGCTCGTGATTGACATCCTGTAGGACAATGTTGGATACTTTTGATTGGACACTAATGTGTCTAGTGGCAATATTGCAAACTTGACTGATAGAATTCAGTCTGCATCAAACAAAGGACAAGACGCACTCATTGCACTAATGTTACTAACTACTATCCAATCAAAATTGAGGTTAGCTAGCCTGCCCCATAAGACAACACTACTACTACTGAAACTTCGAAGCTCAGTCTTGAAGCTCTGTGTTCCATTCAGAGGGCAAAGAGTGAAGACGGAGAACATGGAGAACTTTTATTTCCTAATCGCTTATTGGCTGATAAACAAGTTGGTCTCATAACCTGAAGATTATGGGTTCTGATGATATTAGATGGTTGGAGGTAATCGGCCACAGGAAGCCTTGGACCTAGGTTTCGTGCTAGTTGGCACTCGTCAGCAAGGCGTATCTGCAACCTTGAAGGAACTCATGTCCCTTTTGAGATTCGAACCCGCGTTACCCAGTGCCGCAGTCAGAGACACTAGTTACTAGTTTCAAATCAAAATATCCACTACAGTCCTACAGGAGGTCAGTCGCGAGCCCGAATAGCTCAGTGGTAACGTCTCTGACTGCAGCACTGGGTGACGCGGGTTCAAATCTCAGAAGGGACATAAGTTCCTTCAAGGTTGCAGATACGCCTTGTTGACGAGTGTCAACTAGCACGAAACCTAGGTCTTGGCAAGGCTTCCTGCCGATTGCCTCCAACCATCTAATATCATCACAAACAATGTACACCGTGATGGTGAGCTACCTAGAATGGTGGCCACATTACAACCTGACTGATAGAATTCAGTCTGCACCAAAGCGAGAACTAGACGTATCACACTAGTTACTAGTGTCAAATCAAAAGATTATGGGTTCTATCTCTGGTGGTAGGGTCATGGTTTCTTATATTTGAGAATGTTTTGTAAAGATTCTTCAATGAGTATATTCATTTTTTGTTGGTTTTGAATTTAACTTTAATTTTAGGTATAATGTTTAGATCAGGTTATTCTGGTACACGTGAACGTGTTTCACGTTATTGGGAACCTTCAACTCCATCACGACAACCACCACCACCACCAGCACCGCCGCCTCCACCACCACCACCACCGCCAGGACCACCACCTGCACGTATACCACAAGAATATTATCCATATATTGGTCCAGGGAAATGGAATAGAGGTCGTATTCGGTGGTTTAATCCAATTGAACATTATGGAAGTATAATTGCTGATTTTCGTAATTTAGAAGTATTTTTTCATCAGGTGAGCAATATCCTTTTATCAAAACAATTTTTTTCCTTCACGTTCCCCAGTGGAACATAGGGCTTCAAGCTAGTGGCTTGAAGTTTTTGTAGCAATGTTTATTTTACAGGATGGGGTTGCTAGCCTCATGCCCAACCTTTCCTCTTCACCAGGATTATTTTTGGTTTAGCGAGGTAAAGGAGTGCGTCGGTCGGGGATCGAACTCCGGACCATGTGCAATTACTCTCTTTGATTTCATCTGCGATTAAATCACAAGCAATGGGATAAACTTACCTATTCCTGTCACTTACATCAGAGCCATTGTCTTAACATGTACAGAATATATCAGATTCACCTTCCTAGAAAATACATAGAAAATAATCGATGGTGTTGCGGCGGGGAGCCGTCTTGAGCCCCTGTTAGCAGATATAATCATGTCGAAATTGGAGAAACAAATGCAAGGTCTGCCTAGAGAATTTATGCTGTATAAACGTTAGGTAGATGATACTCTCATAATTGGTAATAATAGTAAATCTATTGAAAACTTTATTACCCCATTTAATAATATTCATCCAAATATCCGAGTGACTTCCGAACGCGAATCGAATAACAAACTCGGTTTCCTGGATATTACTGTGACTAGGAGAGATGATGGTACGATTCAGCGATCTATTTTTCGTAAACAGACATGGAGTGGTCAATATCTTCATTTCACCAGTTTTATTCCTTTCCAGTATAATCGTTCCCTAGTGAAATGTTTTTTTTCAAGGACACATTGATGGATGAGTTTTGACATATACGTTCAGTTTTAATAGCTAATGGTTATCCAGAGAACTTCATCACTTGTCACAGTAGTAAGGATAGACCACATCTCGAAAAGACAGCTTCTGTACCAAAGAAAGCTATCTTTACTAACCTACTATTTAAGGGTGACCAGATTATGCAGTTGACAGCTCAAAGACTTCGGTCAGCCATCAAACATACATTCTAAACCGTCACATCTCTTTTTCTCACATGCCGAACATTTTCGATCCCTGTACCTACGATTAAAGGCCGAAATTCTGCGGACTCTACTTCACACTGAATCTACAAGTTCACCTGCAGCTGTGGTGACACCTATATGGGTAGAACCAATAGAATGTTCCAATGTCGTCGAAAAGAACATGTTCCAAAATGGTTATTAAAACATATAGAAAATATAAATACAATTAATCTGAATAGAAATCCAGCATCATCCATTGCAAAACACTTATTAATGTCAGCTCACAAAATCAATATTAATGACTGTTTCACAATTATTTCATCACTTAACTCTAATTCAAGGTTGGTTATTAAAGTTGATGGAAGCACTTCGGGGATTAATCACATACAGTCTAAACTATGTGTACGAAAACAACACAATAGACTTCAACCTTCGCCTACCATGGACTACTTGACCTATTTAAATATGATTGGTCATTAGTATGTACTTTTGTGTTTTTTATTTAACTGAGTAATTGTCATGATCTTTATTTTATTATTGTTAACCATGTTAGTTGTAAAGCGGTTGTAAAGAACCTACGAAATGACAATATCAACATCTCGCGAAATTTGTCTTCTAAATGCCTTATTCAAATATACTTTTATGATAATAAAGAGTGAGCGATAATATGTGAGTATGAGAGACCTTTTGAATGATTGGATGTTTTTAGCCTAAAACTAAAGGAGAATTTTCTAATTTACCCAGAAAGAAATCTGTTAACATGAAATTCAATGGAGAACCCCCCTCTGCCTCTCCATCCGCCTGCCTATAAAGTCCACATTCATGGTTTATACTTTAGTAATAGTTCTGCAAAGATTTCTACAGGGATCAAAATATTTGTTAACATTTTTCATTTATTCGTCGACAGTTGTAAATAATCGTTTCCACTATAAAGAAAAAGGAAAAAAATCCGTCGGTGGCACAGTGGAAGAGTGCTCGCCAACCACTCAGGTGCATCAGGGTTCGATCCCCGGCCACCAACGCACTCCTTTACCTCGTTAAGCCAGTAGTAAGACTGGTATAGAGGGAAGGTTGGGCATGAGGCTGACTAGCAACCCCATCCTGTAAAAATAAACACCACTGCTACAGAAACTTCAAGCCGCTAGCTTGAAGGTGCCCTGTGTTCCACTGGGAACGTGAATGAATGAAAAATAAAAACACCAGACATTTAGCCTAAGCATGCTAGGGCGAATTGTATATGTTCAGAATTGGTTTTAATGGTACTTCGGGTAGGCTGTATGTTCTTGGTGTCTATATGCTCATGGGTCTGATTTCGTCGTGTAAACTAGTGGAAAGCACAGTATGCTTATCCTTCGGTTTCTTTAATCGTCTGGTTATTTCATTATTATAAAGCGTTTTTGTATTTCCTAATGAATGAAAAACAAAAAGATGCTGCCATTTTGTATACTGACGTTTCGCTATTTAATGCTGCTGCTGACAGCTTTATCAAAATCTCAGCTTATATATAACAACTCAATCACCGTTCATCAGCACCGGGTAATTTTTACGTTGTCCAGTTGGCTAATTGTTAAAGATAACAAAACCAGGTATAGACTGTTGGATTTGATAAGTATATAAGATTATAAAAGAAGCATTTGTTTATGTAATGAGATGGCTTGTCACACTCGTGTTAACTTTGTCATTTCATAGCGGTGACATGCAAAGGTGCTGCATACAGGTGAGATTCTGCTTCAGTCTATCATTCCTATTCAGACAGTTTGGATTCCACTTGATATGAAGTGCTTCTGATGATGTGAGACGGTATTCGTGATTTCTGAAATGCTTTTTATGGATTATTTCAATATTGTCAGAATCAATTTTGTGATCTCATTCTATAGCGTCACGTGTAGACGATGACCTATGGTTGATGATTTTTGGAGCTTTTTTGGTTCACTAACTGGATTACTCGGTAGTAGAACAGAGGCGACTCTGTGGTGTTCATTTCTTCTGATTACCTTGATTTCTCTCTAGTTATGTTTGTCCGATGTATATCGCATCACATTACAAGCATTTTAATTAATAGACACAATTAGATAGAGAATTCTGAGGGATTCCATCTTTAACATGGACAAGGTTGCTTTATAGTGTGTGTGCATGTCTGGTGTTTCGAGGAAAACTCTGATGTTGTGCTTATTGAGTACTCTTCTGATATCGTCTGATGGCTCTGATGGTCTATATGGGGTGACAGCTGTTGAGGCCATGTCTTGGGAATACGTGTTTTCGACTACATTTCATGTCGGTGTTGATTTTGTTAATGAAGTTTTTGGGTAGTTATTTTTCTTTAGAATCTCAGAAATGTTTGGTATTTCTTCTTCTTTTTCCTTCTCATCCGTCAGCATGAAAGAGTGTGCTTGTCTAAGAATACCTTTGCCCTGATTGGATGTGATGGTCCGAAGTCTAAATATTTGTTGTAGATGGTTTTCTTCCTGAGTATAGATATATATTAAAATACCCATTTTCCCATCCTCTCAACTAGACAGGGGTGGGATCTAGAAATGTTAGTTCACCGAGGTCTAATTCTGCTCACCTTCGAAGTGAACTGGATGCTGACAGATAGATTGTGCACAGTTTCTCCAGGAATGAATTATGTAGATCTCGTCTGGTTATTTCATTTTCTATTTCACTGTTTGAATCTTTGCTCCCCTCTAGTTTTAGAAAATTTCGTTTGTCTCTCAATATACCATTCATCTTTTAAAAAAATCTGACGCTCACTAGCGACTGGCCTTATTCAGGTAGGTAGTAGTTACCTGGGGTTCTAGTGGGAATTCGTGACCAGTAGGTTATGGCAGGTCGACGGTGAGGACAGTTAGTCATCGAAGAAGACATTACGAAGCGATCGCGCTATGTCGTAGCATGGCACTGGGTCGGGTCCCATTGGCTTAATGGTCTACTAGCTCGCTGGCCTTGTAACCAGAAGGTCCTGGGTTTGAACCCCGGCTATGGGGTGAGTGCGTACTGCTGAATAGTTAATACTTGCAGGTTTTGCAATGGTTTCCTAACCGATGTGTCAGTTGATGATGAAATCCTCCAACCAATCGAATAAATTCCCTACAGAAACCAATACTTGATAATCACTTCTGTCAAGCAGGGCTACTCCTGATCATTTATCGAGGTTTATGATTGTCATTCTCTTGGCATTTATCGACTTTTATAGTTCCTCTGTGGGTGTTCCTTTGTGAGTATATTTCTACAGTTGTACTAATTAGTCTTTTACATTTTTAACCAAATTTTTAAAAAATTTATCTTTTTGTTTCTTTTTTGTTTGGTCATGTAAACCTAGTCAAATTTGTATGGAATATCCTCTGAACAATTATATCCAGATTTACCGGTTTGGTTTCAAATACGTCCTGGTGTAAGAGGCTTAGAAGGTTATAATATCCAACCAGCTATTGAAATGGGTCAGTTTCCGTCTACATCACGTATTCCCTTACCACCAGAATCAATAGTTTGTCGACCTTCTTTAATATCGGGTCCTTCATTTTTAGGTGGAGAAATAGCTAGAATAAGAAGGTTACCCGAAAGGCGTAGAACACGAAGATTTCGGTAAGTTTTCACTCTTTCCAATATATACCTATATACATACGTATATATCTTCGAAAATAATTATGGGTACTTTAATTGTTTACTAGGCAGTCTTGTCCTGTGTGCATCACCGCTTACAATATTCTGTCTATTTAAGCTGACAATATGTCTACCAAACTAAGTACTTCTGTCATGATGGTGGACTCTTAATTGATATTAATTAATCGTAGACAGTCGGTAGAAAACCCTGGGCCTAGGTTTCGTGCTTAATAGCACTCATCAGCAAACCATGCCTGTGACAGGCTTTGAAGAAACTAATATAGCTTCAGAGATTCGAATGCGTGTATCGAAGTGTTACCATTAGAGCTGTTACCATCAGGCTGCTTACGTTTATATAATTTCAATGAAGGTAGATCATTATTATTATTACCTTGGGTTCCAACCGGAACCTTCTTTAGCCGGTCCCAGGATGGCCCATTAGCTCTTATCTCCTCTTCATGTGATCTCCTTAATGTCACTTCCCACTGGAGTTCCACTCGAGAAATTGTCTGGAGGACAATGTCGCTCAAAAATCTCTTCAGGGTATGTCCGACCCGTCTCCATTTTCTTCTACATAATGTGTTGTCCAGTAGGCACTTGATTGGTTCGTTGCCAGACTTCCTTGCTGCTGGACCACGCTTGTCGTATGATATTCAGTATGGCACGAGGAAGGTCACTTCTGACAAAAGTCTACAGTGGGCTGTTGGAAATATTTGTCACTACAGTTCAAGTTTCTGACCCATAGAGGTAGGCAATACACTTATAAAACTTTCATTATTTTTCAGTTCAAGAGATTTTAGAAATATTGAGCTGACTATTATATTCTGTTGCGTTCCTAGTGGAACATAGGGCTTAAAGATTGAGCTTTGTAGTTCCAGGAGCTGTAGTGCTGCTGGCTTTACGCCGAACACCCAACCCTCTGTATCAGGCGTGCTAGCAGCCAAATGTAAGATGATGTTACAGGATTGGACTACACCGACTCCTAGATTAGAAATAGAAAGTGAAGTGGTAGAACACGTTGACCGCTTCACATACTTGGGAAGTACCATTATCCCCAACGGGTTGATCTCTGACAAAATCTCAGTAAGGATACAGAGGACTAGTTTCGCATATGCCAGTTTACGCCGTCTCCGGCGTAGACGTGATATCCGACTATCGACCAAACGGCGTGTGTACTGCTTATCAGTCCGCTCCGTCCTCCTTTATAGCTGTGAGACCTGGCCATTGAGAGTTGAAGACATGAAAAGATTAGCTGTCTTTGATCATAGGTGTCTGCGTTCTATCTCCCGCGTGAATTGGTATAATAAGGTGAGCAATATTGAGGTTAGGCATCGGTCGAGTGCTAGGTAAGAAGGGGCAATCAGTCGACGAGACTGTGAAATTACATCGACTGAGATGGTTAGGACATGTGTTACGTATGCCTAGTCATCGCCTTCCTCGACGGACAATGTTAGCTGATATAGGGTCAGGCTGGAAAAGACCTAGCGGTTGTCAAACCAAAACATGGCACCAGTCAATGAGATCTGCAACAGTCAGTCTAAGCCACGTAGGAAGGTGTAGACTCCCTGGTTGTGGTCTTTGGGATGGTAAAAACCAATGGTTGGAAACAATTGGTGACATGGCTCAAAATCGTTCTCAATGACTGGCGCAGATTCATCCACTCCTTGTGACTTGTGATTTCAAATGAAACTATATACTTCTTCGTTATTACTATACTTTTGTCTCACACCTCTGTTTACTGTCCATATTATGCATTTCTCCTACTTTCTTCTTTGCTTTGTGTACTACATGGAGTGTGACGACTTGAACTGCCACACATATGTGCAAAGTTCTATGTTGAAAACAGACAGACAGACAGACTAGCAGCTAAGACAGATTTAGCAGTACGTCAGTCCGGGACAAATCGAATCCCGGACTACAAGTGTAGCCATAACAGGTATTCTATCACTAAAGCACCGACGCATAGTCACTATAAAAATATAGTCTCAATAATAATACCAGTTTTATTCTGGAAATTATTTCTAAACTCCATGCGGGATTCCCAGAGTTATTTTGTTTTCTATAGTTGGTTTGTAAGGATTAGTTTTGTTTTTAGGAGTTGATCACATATTAATATGAGTTAGAGAACCATTGAAAACCAGCACTGGAGCACTGGACAGCTGTTTCATCCTAGTCTCTTGGGAATCTTCGGCAGTACACCCCCACCACATTGCCAGGGTTCGAACCCAGGACCTTCCGGTTACAAGGCCAGCTAGCTGGCTCGTATACCATTCAGCTACTGGGACCTGATCCGATTCAATGGCCAGCCTATGAATTCTAATTTCTACCAATTCGTGATTTATCGTGACTGGCACCAACCAGTGTCGTCGGTGGGACAAAATATTTGCTCCCAGTACAATATCTTCGAATAAAATATTGATTTACAGGATATCGTATGACTCAACATCATTTTGTCTGAAACTAGACTCAGTCGACTATGAATTTTATTTCAAACAATTAGTTCCCTTTATGAATTTTGGCAAAAAACAATGAAGAAGACATAGTTTATCTGAAACGTGTAAAGTAATGTATTTGAGCGACACATTTCGGACATTCTGATCACACACACGCAAGCACGTACTTGTCATACCTAGGCACATATAAGATAAGGTGGCATGAATTATTGCAATACAGGTCAAGGTTACAAATAATGGGTAGGGAGACGACGCAAAGGTGTGGGTAGGAAAGAGAAAAAGAGAAGAAACAAAGCAATGAAGGGGTGGAAAATATTATGAAGTAAATTGATCCTTGGTTCTAAATTGGATTACCAAGGCAGGTTTAAAGTTCTTCAAATAAACTCTCGTGAAATATCTGTTCTCCCCTTGATTGTTTCAAACGTCTGGCTAATTCACTTCCTATTTTGTTACTGAAGTCTTTCTTCTGCTCAAGTTTTTGGAATTCCTGTGCGTCTTTTTAATCCTTTCCTAAAGTGATCCACGGTCGGAGATAATTTTCTCAATAGGGATGGAGCAGTCTAAATTCTGGTACCTCCAAACAGTTTATGTGCAGTTTCCCTCACTTCCTCCCTCGAACAGATTTTTCTGCTGTCGTTGAGGTCTGATGCTTTATCAGTTTCCGATATTTTCACAAGAGATAAACCATAACCGTGTCCACAGCTGTATATTACCAGCCAAATACTTTCAAGTAGCATCATAGAAGTTCCAGTTTTCATGATTTTCCATACTAGTATTTTTTCTTATTCAATTTCTATGACTATCAATAATGAACAGGTCTCTTAAGATAACATTAAGAACTTTCATAGTTCAAACGCTAATTAAGTTATATGAAAGCATACACCTCACCAGACAAAATTCTGATATCTTGAGCTATGAATATAAATTTAGAAACTATGAAATTCCTTTTACAAGTGTTTATTAGATTACTACCACAGTGCCCAAGGCTTACATGTATATTAATATGAAATCCCTTTTATAAGTGTTTAGAGGTTTCATAGACACTCTTTGTAGATTTATTGAGCTTCATATTAGGAAGTTCACTGATCGACTGATACTCAGTAGATAGACAGAAGACCAGTAGTTCAGCGAAGAGTATGTTTTTGGCGAATTCATTTTCATAGCTGTATTATTATTATTATTATTACTGTTCCCTTGGGTTCCTAGTGGAACATAGGGCTTCAACTGCACGCCTCCACTTGCTTCTGTCTTCTGCCTTACTTTTCACCTGCATCCATGTTAGTTCATACTGTTTCAGTTCCTCATCACACGATCTCCTCTATGTCACCCTTGGACGTCACACTCGCCGCTTCCCCTTTCGGCTTCCACTCGAGCGTCTGTCTGACGCGCGATGTCACCCAGCGGCCTCCTCGGCGAGTGTCCAATCCATCTCCCCTTTCTCCTGCATATTTGTTGAGCGATTGGTTTTTGTTTAGAACGAAAACAGCTGTTGATAAAGGTCTGCAACCTGTTGTAAATATTCTTTGTGACCCGCCGAGTTTCTGATCCGTATAGAAGAAGTGACTGACTTGACGTTTGTATTGAAAATCCGAATCATTTTGTTGTTGATGGTGAGTGACGAAGATTTCCAGATTGGTTTCAGGTTGATCCGTGTGTGTGTGTACATTAAATTTGCCAAACGAAAATACAATTAGTAAGTTCAAGTGAATTAAGTGTTGATATAAGAGGGTAGTAACAAAAGTGATAAGTTGTCACAAACGATTGTTAAAGAAGAGTTACGTAATAACATGAATAATTTGATGAAAGAGTTGTGCTCATGGTGTACATGAAAACAAAATAATATACGGAATTGCGCAAGAGTTTCAAGTAGTTAGAAAAATAAGCATACAGGCAAAAGTTAAGTCAAATCAACAGAATTGTTACCATGATAGTAGAAATGGTTGAATAATTTTCTTTTGTATGCATAGTTCTGGTTCTTCTAACTAAATAGCTAAGGCTTCTGTAATGCAAAGAAGACGGAAACGTATTGTCTTCGGAAGGTTGTTCTTCACTTTGTAGATCACTTTGAAGTAGGAGGCGTTTGTTGAGATGCAATGACCAGTGGTGACGAGATGTTCGATTATCGCATTCCTTATATGGCACTCAATAGATAGTCATTTGACACCCAGTTACCTGGGATAGTCATATTTCACATACCAAACTGTCATTCATGCTTATCGTTTGAGTGCTTGTATTATTAGTCAGTCATTTGGGTTAAAGTAGGTGGATACGGATTCGAACCTAGGACACAATATCTTCACAATCATTCATCTACTGTCTGTAATAACAAAGGAAAGATTGTGGTCATTGTCTGTAGTCTCGACCAATGCAGCCAATAACCTTTCCCCACCTTCGACGTAGAGAAGAACGAGTTTTACTCAGAGATGTAAATTGTTTGTGGTATAGAATTGGATAAGGTCTATGATTTGGAAAAGTATTATAGGAGTATCTGTGGCATCTTGTACTGACAAATATACACCTGTGGTTGGC